AACCAAACATAATTACAAAATTTCAACTAGTTTCATAAATAATAACGAAAGATATAATTGACTGAATACATCAAAATGGATTTCTATTCGGACAACCCTTTCTGAGCGCTGATTGGCTAAAATACGAACACGAGATCACCTGGCTATTAAAGCATCTTTTTTCGTACTGATACGGGGTCCACATTTGTAGTTTTAATGTCTTTCAAGTATTTTTACTACGGATAAAAAATCATTATCCGGTGCATGGTTAGCGCTATCTGCTTTTGTACAACCTTGTTTCAAAGTACTAACAAACCTATTTTTACAGAGTGTAATCCAAACTGTAGCGAAAATGCGTCGTGTAGAAGATCTTCAACAAACAGCAACTTCGAAGTCCAGTGTCAATGTAATGATGGCTTTACCGGTAACGCAAGCCAATGTACCGGTAAGAATTCTCATTCTTGTCGCTTTTGTCAACCAGTGGATTCTGACTAACAAATTTGACTAACGTTTGTTTAATAACGTTTGACTGTCAAATACCAGACAATTTGATGTATATCACTCCCACGCGCGAACCGCTCTAAAACTTGGCCTTTTTGCCATTAATAGTTGCCTTTCAACTTTCAAATTCAAGCGGGGCTTATTTGGTGACATATGCGACTTGCTTATATGTTTGCATCCCAAATGAAAACAACAATATTCATATATTTTATCATGTCTATTATTATAGCGATAACGGAACAAGAAGAGGAAGACGACGGTGCGTTTCTTCTTGGTCCAAATATCATTGTGTTTTGTTGGTTAAAGATGGTGTTATATATATATATTATTCGTTGTATATCAGCTGTAAATTCAAGAACTCAAAAGAGTTGTTCTGGAAGTCAAATATGTGTTTGCCTACGTGGTTGATAACATTCGTTTTGTGTTGAATTTTAGATGATGATATCAAGGGAATACTTATTGCTTGCCTGGTTGTTGTCTCAATAATATTAGTTATTGTCCTACTGCTGTTTGCGTGTTTGCTCTGTAGGTAAGCAAGTTTGTAAATTAGTTTTGAGAACAAGTAAAAAACTTTTTAAATCATTGCCATTTCAATAACCTCCTTACTCTTCCTTTTTCTTTACAGAATGAGCAAAAACAAATGAGTCATCATATTATATTCGACGTGGATGCCATATCAATGAGTATATAAATTACCCATATAGTAGCTATATATCATAGCGTTATTAATTTATTAAACATGATCAACATTAAACATTAGTGATGTTGACTATTAGCTAGATAGGTTAATATAGGTAGTAAAAGAACTTGTTAGTAAAAGAACGTTCATCAATTTTACTAAAATCGTAAAATTCAGAATTTAAAGATTTATAGTCAGTTTTCAAATCATTAAGTAAAAGAAATTGAGCAAAATGATCAGACAATATTACCACTTATACAATGATGATTAATGGTATTACCATATATATTATCAATCAATGTTGCAGAATTCTCTGTAACACGAGTTGCCTGAAGAATATAAGGAAGAAATTTGCATTCAATGTATTGAGGAACTCATTTGTTTTATTATGTCGGTCGAAGTCTAATAGGTTAATATTAAAATCGCCTATTATAAAAATTTGTTTGTTCTCATTGGATATTTTTAGAAATATAGACTCAATAGACTCTAAATTTTCTCGGGTCAGAAGATGGCTGACGATATATACATGAACATAATATGTTTTTACCCTTGGAGTTCTTGATTTCAATCCATAAAGTTTCAAAATCATCGGATATGCAACTAAGATCAGATCTTTCATTATGTATAAGTGAATTACTTATATACATAGCAACCCCACCAGCTGATAATTTAGTTGGTTGGGTATATAAATCATATCCACGTAGATTATTGTTCATCTTAAACCCCTTGTTAATTAGTTCTCTAGTCTCGGATATTCCTACAATATGAAATGGAATATCCATAGTATATAAAAGAGATTGCAATTCATCAAAATGAGCATCAAGGCTTCTAAGATTAATATGAAATAAAGAAAATGTATTGATTTCAAAAGACCTCTTTAAAGTGTTTAAATCATCCACATAATAATATTGAGAATTAACTGGGTTGGGCATCATATTTTCATTATCAAAGTCACTGAGATTAGGCATTGAAGACAATTTGGATAATACATCAAATGATAGTAGAAAGTCAAGACTATAGTAGGTCTATCATATGATAGTATTTTTGCAAACTCAAAATCATTTAAATTAGAAAATGGAACATTATAGGCCAGACAAAATTTACATAGCCACATGTTATCAGAACAGGCATGTAGGTAGTCAGCTGGGCCAAAGGACATACATCTTGGGTGAAATAATAAATTGCAAGTAGAACATATTAGAACTTTTTGGTTAATCTCAATTTGAGAACTGCACATATTGCAGTTCATAGGAATATTTGATATGTTACTAGCCATTGAGATTGAAATTTATAGATATCATATACTAAAGTAATCTAATATTCACAACAACAAGCTCGTAGACTAGCCCCCAACCTATAGTAGACTTGGCCCCGTATCCCATTGTACCAATATATATATTCTTTGCTAAGTCACTGAGTGTTCTCCAGTTGATTGGCAAGCCCTCTTCCCTTTTCTGTCTTTTTCAAGAAGGTCGGGTGGTCTTCTATCTCTATGTATATATGAACGGGCCTTGAGTTAATTGTCAGCGGTTAATACTGACAATAAGGGACATTAAAAAACTCTGTCTCATTAATAATTCATGAGAAAAAGCTAGATAAGGGAAATCACTGCAGTATCAGTGGTTTTATGCGTGATAAAAAATCATGTTGATTCACATAGTTTTATTTCGATTTTCTCTGCTTAAACAATGTTGATTTTTAAAATCACTTGGTCGTTTTTTAACCATTTAAAATGCTCGCAGTCCATGGGTCTCCATGCTTTGTCAGATATAAAGCACTCGTGTTTTAAATCTGGTAAAGCACTCTAGCTCGTGTTTGAAATAGTACATAAACTTTAGAATATAATTTTAAAAAGACAAAACAAATTTTTTGTCTTTAAAAGGAGTCACCAAACATGAATATAAATATTTATAAGATCCATCGCCCAAAACTGGTATTTATTAGCAAAGATTCTACTAAACTGAATCTAATGGTTTCAAATGCATTTATTTATTACCATTTTATTAGTATACATTAAAATGAGATGTTCAGTCCACATGGCTCAATCACACTTGCAGTGAGACGATGGGCAGAACCCTGCGGCGCAATTGGCTATGCACCACGCATCAGTCGCAGCACTTTCGAATGGAGGGACGCTGTGGCATGATCCAGGTTTGGGCGGTACCGGTCTGGTGCTTGGCTGGGGTGGCATGGTGCTGGGTTTGGGCCGCATTGTGACGGGTTTTGGTGGCATAGGTGGGAGTACTCCTCCCGCAAGGGCACGTGTGACCGCTGTGAGAAGTGGATATTTTCCCTCGGCACATTGAGTGCCGGCAAAATCGTCCAAATCAAGCGTCCAAAACATAGCTGCAAGAAGACCTATAGAAAACAGGCAAGACGAATAAATATGATAATAATGTGGTGGAATTTTCCGTTCGTATTAACCGCATGTAATCGATTATTGCGTCTGAATGGGCAGGCTTAACTAGTGCCACGTGCAGGCGAGAAAGTTTCCCTCCTGAACAAGTTTTACCTGTTTATGCGCACGGAAAAATTAAATTTTTTCAACTCCCCGCCTTTTAACAAGAAGCCCTCTTTAAAGCTGGACATGCCAGAATATATGTAAAACAGCAGTGGCGAAGCTAGTCATAATAACAGGTCATGCCATGTAAATTTTTAATGATTTGCACTATTCTGAACCTTTACTAGAAATTGCAATTGTCTTTAACCTATTTAAATATATGCACGATTATCAGCATAGCATGCTGCATGACCATAGATATCTTATATACACTAGATAGTGCATTTAATTATTCTGCAATTCAAAAATTGAAGCCGTGATTGCAGACTCAGGATATTCCCATGAAATGAGAAGATCCAGTCCAAGGACTGAATTAATTTTAATCCAGTCCTAGGACTGGATCAATATACTTCACCAGGTATTAAATATTATCATGTGAGCAAAATAAAGCAATATGATTGGCCAATTTACTCATGAATTATTTATAAGTTTGAGACATGTATATATGGTGATGCACATAGCTATATATTCTCAGTGCTCGCCTCCCCCGCACTGAAGGAATATTAAGTTTGAGGATAAATAATTTTCAGCCAAAGTTGGAGTGCGGCGAAGCTAGCTCTGGGAGTGTCGCGGCTGAGGGGAGGTGGGTTGTTTCCCAAAACATTTCAGCGCCGTCCTTCCTTTTCAGTGGCAAATGCTCAAAAATACTTTTGTGCTACTTTTATACTGTCTGATAATCACGTGGTATATCTGATGGATGACCAACTGATCATCTCGACTCATGTATAAATATTCAGATTATATGGTATTGTGAGGGAGAACTCCCATGCAGTGAGAATATATTTGTTAATATAATTCTCAGCTGTTACAAAATTCTATTCAATTTTAGTCACGAAAACGAGGCCAAGAAGGCTCATGCACATAAAAGAGTATATTTAGATGGTCTATGCGTACCTTTCTCTTTGATTAATCCAACTTTATCGTTCATCAAACTCTCTTGTGTATCATAACCAACCCACACGTTGCCAGAATATCCGTACGGTGCTCCAGCGGCGTTCTGCTTTACCACTGTCAGCGGCATTTTACAAATCTCGTAGTACGCCAAGAATCCTGCTTCACGGGTAAATTTACCTCGTACTGGGTTTCCATTGCTTGGGGCATTCAGACCGTTATTGTTGGGATTGGTGAGCTTGAATGCACGTCCGTACGTTGCCATTCCAAGGGCAATCTTTTGAGCTGGCATACCGAGTTTCATCCAGTGTTCCACAGCATACCTGTAACATGTACGTATTGTCAGTCAAATTGAAGTGAGTTGGATAACTGATATTCTCGGTTGAATAGTCACAGAATAAGTTACGACACTAACCCTTCAGCTATTCAAAAACAGCATTGGCAATCAAGAGAAGTTCAGATTGAACCTCCACTCATTGAGTGTGAGTGAGCTTTTAGAATACAAGCGGAGAACGCGCGATTACTCAAAAAACCCCTCAAAGTACAGGAGAAACTAGCTCACCCGTTTAAGCACACATTTGCAGTAGCATGCTTGTTTTGAGGGTCCTGAAGGGGGGTCGTATTCCCATTTCCCAGCCCAAATTTTGACTAAATCCCATTGTCCCAGAGCACAAATTCCATCATCTCAGTGGCTGTCCTGCTCAAATCTTAATCGCATTCCCATTTTCTATTGGGGTTTTTTCTGATGAATCCCAGTCCCAGTGCATGAAATCCCATTTTTCCACCCAAAAATGAGCAAATCCCAGTTCCCATTTTACCCCTTCAGGACCCTCTGATTTAGCAGTGACGAGCAGCGCGTTAAAGAAAAGACTAAAACATAAGTGGTGTGTACAATCCATACCTCACAGTGAGCTTATCGCTACCAAGCATGGCCGTGTGGTGTCCAGTTTTTCTGTCCCATTTACCATGGAGATCATATGTCATCAGATTAATCCAATCCAGGCTCTTCGCAATCTTATCGACTTCATAGCCTGCATCAATGGTCTTGTAGCCAGCTGGAACTGCGGCCGACAACAATAAGCGCTCTTTACCAGACTCCGCGGCTTCTTCCTCGAATGCGGCCAAGAGCTCATCGCAGAGAGCGGTGTATCGTTGTTTATCTCCCGGGGGTGAATTTCCCCGACCGGCTGGATATTCCCAATCCAAGTCGTAACCATCGAAGCCGTTTTTGCGAAGGAATGCGATTGATGAATCGATGAAAATCTTACGATTCTGGGCCGTCTTCACCATGGCCGAGAATTTTCCCAATCCATTCTCATGATTCCAGCCACCGACAGCAAGCAATAATTTAAGATGTGGGTATTCCTGAAATCAGAAACGAAA